AAAAAAAAAAAAAAATAGCCAGGCAAGGTGGCAGGCACCTGTAGTCCCACCTACTCGGAAGACTGAGGTGGGAGGATTGCTTGAGTCTGTGAGTTCGAGGCTGCAGTGAGCTATGATCGCACCACTGACTCCAGCCTGGGCAACAGAGTGAGACCCTGTCTCAAAAAATAAATAAATCAAAGAACCATGGTGTCAGCATCTGCTTCTTGTGGTGAAGGCTTCAGGCTGCTTCTACTCATGGCAGAAGGCCAAGGGAACCACACGTGTGCAGGGATCACGTGGCAGGAGGGGAAGCGAGAGAGAGAGAGAGAGAGAGAGAGAGAGAGAGAGAGAGAAGTGCCAGGCTCCTTTTAACATACATCTCTCATGGGCGTTAACGGGGAGAACTCATTCACCTGCCAGAGAGGGCATTAATCTGTTCATGAGGGATCTGCCCCCGTGACCCAAACACACCTCACATTAGGCCCACCTCCAATCTTGGGAATAAAAGTTTTTTGTTTTATTTTTTTGAGACGGAGTCTCGCTCTGTCGCCCAGGCTGGAGTGCAGAGGCCTAATCTCGGCTCACTGCAGCCTTTGCTTCCAAGGTTCAAGCAATTATCCAGCCTCAGTCTCCCGAGTAGCTGGAATTACAAGCACGCACCATCATGCCCAATTAATTTTTGTATTTTTAGTGGAGATGAGGTTTCACCATGTTGGCCAGGCTGGTCTCGAACTCCCGACCTCAAATGATCCGCCCGCCTCAGCCTCCCAAAGTGCTGGGATTACAGGTGTGAGCCACTGCACCTGGTCCAAATTTCTTCTTTTTTTTTTTTTTTGATACAGAGTCTCACCCTATCACTCAGGCTGGGGTGCAGCGGGAGATCCTAGCTCGCTGCAACGTTGACCTGGTCTCCAGTGAGGGGATCAAATTTCAACATGAGGTTTTGAAGGAAAAAATATTCAAACCACAGCACGGAGGTGTTTTTTGTTTGTTTTTTGTGGGTTTTTTTTTTGTTTGTGTGCTTGTTTGTTTAATCTGTGGGGGTTCTCTGGGTCGTCAGGTGAATTGCTGATAGTGAACATTTAATCACCATCACTCTGTAATGTAGTTGCATCTATGGGGCCAACTGCCTTAACAACTTCCTGGATGTCATCGCTGGGATCCGTGAATGGCTGTGTGTGTGCACACAAACACTCGTGCACACGCACTTCTGGATGGCCTGTGTGAGCACTGACTGGGTGACTTGTGTGTGCCTGGCCCTCCTGACCGGGATGTCCATGCATCTTTCTGTTTGCAACCGTGTTTCAGTGTCTCTGACCCAGACCCTGGGCTCCGGTATCTCTGAAGCTGCCAGGCTTGAAGGGTATGTGAACGTCCTTTGCTGGCCAGGCACGATGACTCACGCCTGTAATCCCAGCACTTTGGGGAAGGCAAGGTGGGAGGATCACTTGAGGCCAGGAGTTCAAGACCAGCCCAGGCAACATAGCAACACCCTGGCTCAAAGGGAAGGGGAGGGGAGGGGAGAGGAGGAAAGAGAGAGTGGAAGGAAGGAAGGAG